CAAAATGTAGGTTGCCTCATGAGTTTAATCAAACACTCAAAATAGTTCTTATAATCAAATAGCCCGATGTAGCAAAAATCATTTCCTTAAAGTCACATAACAAAGTACTATTTCCAAAGTAGATAATAAGTTTATCAAACTACGAAATATGCAAGTTATAAACCATTCTCGAAATAACAATTTTCTTAGTACATAACTCTTTAAAAATCATAGAATAGTTTATTAAACCGAAGTAATTTCAAAGGAATTGAAATGGCTTAGTTGGAAGAACTTAAGTTGATATAAGCATGAGGTTAGGAGTTCAATTCTCTCTTTAAACAAATAATCCATTTTATAAGCATGTAATACATACAGAAAAATAAACATAAGGTATGCTAACAGGCAAAGTGGAACCCACAACCTACTGCTACCTACACAACAACCACAAGCCATTCTACCATCTCTACACTTGATGACTATTCCAGTCCAGATTATATAAGTAAACAATTCCTGTCCGGAAACACAGTTCACAACAATTCCAGTAAACGCAGCTCAAAATTTCAATATACAACTCAAATCACAAGTTTAATTTATAGTATAGGGTAAAAATGGTTTTGAGAGAAATACACACTTACCTAAAACATCCAAATCTTAGCTATTTAGCTTGCCCAAATACTCCTTGTCAAAATCCCTAATATTTTAAAATATCAATCTTAGGGCTCCAAAGATAAACCCAACTCATAATGAGTAAAAGATAGAGGTTAAACTCACCTAGAATACCCAATATCTTAGAGATCTAAGCTTGAAGAAGATGGAGATCCAAGCTTCAAGGTCTTCCCTTCCCCTATCTCTCTCTAGTCAACTCCCCTTATCTTCTTTTAAAAGATATCTTTCTCCAAGACCAAGGGATTCCTTAATCTTTAAGGGTAGAGAAGGGTAATTTAGTAATTTTATCTAATATCAAATTTTAATAAGCTTTGACTTGTTGACCTCATTTACTAAACATATATATATTTTATTTATAAGGTTGTGGTTATTACAATCTCCCCTCCTTAAAATAAGTTTCGTCCTCGAAACTTGCATACCTTCAAACTTGAAGAGTTCTGGATATTTATCCTCATATCATCTTCCTTTTCTCATGTTTCTTCTCTTGAGTATGATGTGACCATTGCACTTTAACAAAGGGGATTAATCGGGACCTCAACAATTGTTCCTTTTGGTCAATGATGCGAAGATGTACTTCTTCATAAGTTAAGTCATCTCTAACTTGCAAAGGTTGATACTCCACCACATGACCCGGATTTGCAATGTATCTTCGTAGCATTGATACATGGAATACATTGTGAACTCCAGCTAGTTGTGGTGGTAGGGCTAGCTCATATGCCAAACTACCAACTCTACTCAAAATCTCAAATGGTCCAATGTAACGTGGACTTAATTTTCCTTTCTCTCCAAACCTCACTACTCTTCGGGTTGGTGAAACCTTTAAATACCCAAAATCTCAAATTTTGAATTCCAATTTTCTTCTTTTCAAGTTAGCCCAGCTCTTTTGTCTGTCTTGAGAAGCTTTAATTCTTTTCCTAATGAATTGAATCTTCTCTAATGTGAGTTGTACAGGTTTTGGCTCTAAGATCTTTCTTTCTACAACTTCATTCTAATATAAAGGATATCTACATTTCCTTCCAAATAAAGCTTCAAAAGGTGCCATTCCTATACTCGATTGGTAGTTATTGTTATATGCAACCTCAATCAAAGTTAAGTATTTACTCCAGCTACCTTTGAAATCCAAGACACAAGCTTGAAGCACATCTTCCAAGGTCTGAATAGTCCTCTCTGTTTGCCCATCTATTTGTGGATAATGTGCAGTGCTTAATTTTAATTCAGTCCCCATGGTTCGTTGTAAGCTTCTCCAAAATTTTGACACAAATCTAGAGTTTCGGTCAGATACTATACTAATAGGAACACCATGAAACCTTACAACTTCATTCACATACCACTTAGCTAGGTCTTCTTAATGGGTAGAAAAAATGTGCAACCTTAGTGAGTCGATCAACAATAACCCTAATTGTATTTTTCTCATGTTGACTGTTTGGTAATTCACTCACAAAATCCATAGATATATGTTCCCAGTTTCATTGAGGTATCTCTAAGAATTTCAATAATTCTACAGGTCTTTGGTGTTCAGCTTTGACTTATTGACATATCATGCATCTAGCCACCAAGTCAGCAATATCTCGCTTCATACCGCTCCACCAGAAATTATTTTTCATATCTTTATACATTTTGGTAGCACCTGGAAGTACCGAGAAGTGAGACTGATAGGCCTCCTTTAAAATATCCTTCTTTATCTCAACATCATTTGGAATGCATAGTCGGGACTTGAAATATAGAGATCCTTCATCTTAATTACCGAACTCTTCTGGGTCACCCGCTTGATTTTTTTTTTTTCCCACGAATCTTAATCAACTTAGGCAACTTTAATGCGATCTAATAATACCGATTTTGTAATCATAGTTTCCAATATCCCTCCTTGCTTATTTTGCAAAATAACCTCAACTTCTAAATCTTGAAAATCTTTCAACAATTGGGTATGAGTAGTTACCACTATCACATTAACTGTGGAAAACTTACTACTTAAAGCACCAGCTACCATGTTAGCTTTACATCGACGATAATTAATAGTGAGATCATATTCTTTTATTAGCTCCAACCATCGTCGTTGTCTATGTTCATTTCCTTTTGGGTAAAGAGGTACTTCAAACTCTTATGGTCTGTAAATATTTGACAAGATTCTCCATACAGGTAGTGCCTCCAAATTTTTTTAAAGCAAATACCACAGCTGCTAGTTCTAAGTCATGAGTGGGGTAGTTAACTTCATGGGACTTCAATTGTCAAGAGGCATAGGCTACCACCTTATCATTTTGCATCAACGCACATCATAATCCTCTTCTTGATGCATCACTATAAATAACAAATCCTTATTCCCCAGATAGTAGGGCTAATATAGGTGCACTAACCAATCTTTCCTTTAATTCTTGAAAGTTCTTCTTACACTACTCATCCCAATTAAACTCTATACCCTTCCGAGTTAACCGAATCAATGGCATGGTTATTAACCTGCTAAACCCAGAAAACTCCTTACTTTTGTAACATTAGTGTGTCTCGGCCATTGCGTTGTTGCTTTAACTTTAGTTGTGTCTACAGAAATCCCGCCTCCAGAAATTACATGACCAAGAAAAGATACATCCTTACGCCAAAATTCTCATTTACTTAGCTTGGCATACAATTCATTTTCCTTCAAGGTGTGCAAGATGGTCCTTAGATGTTGAGCATGTTCTTCCTCACTCTTTGAATATTGCAAAATGTCATCAATAAATACCACAACAAATTTGTCCAGAAACGACTTGAGGACCCTATTCATTAAATCCATAAAGAAAGTAGGAGCATTAGTTAGTCCGAACGGCATCACAAAAAAATTCATAATGGCCATACCAGGTCCTAAAAGTAGTCTTGGGTACATCACTAGCTTTAACCTTCAATTGATGGTACCCTAATCTCAAATCAATTTTTGAAAGGTATTTAGCACCTTGAATTGGTTAAATAAATCATCTATGTGAGGTAGAGGATACTTGTTCTTGACAATAACTTTATTCAATTTCCAATAGTCAATACACAATCACAAGCTACCATCCTTTTTCTTTACATATAACACTAGTGCACCCCAAAAAGATACACTAAGTCTAATAAATCTCATATCAGGCAATTCTTGCAATTGCACATTTAACTAACGGTGACATGCGATAAGGGGCCTTTGAGATTGGAGTAGTTCCGGGAACCTCTATTTCAAAATCAATTTCTCTATTTGGAGGTCATCCAGGTAAATGCTCTGGGAACACATTCGAAAATTTCTTAACAACTGGGATATCATCTAACTTAACTTCTTTCTGGTGGGTATCCATTTCATAAGTTAAGAAACCGCTACACCCTTTTTCTCAATTCTTTCTTACCCTTCAATGCAGACATTACTTTCAATGCCACTTTCGACACCAACATTCCGCTCCTAGGAAAGTGTCTCAAAGTAAAGATAGATTGTCCAGGAATTTGAAATACCACCTTCCTACGAGCGCAATCAATATAGGCATAGTTTTTTTTTTTTTTTTTTTTTTTTTGCTAGTCCATTCCTATTATCACATCAAAATCCTGCATATCCAACTAAATTAAATCAATTGACACATCACTCCCATTAAGTTGTAGATGACAATCTTGAAACCAAGTATCTATCACCACAATCTTCCCCATAGGGTTATTAACATAAAAATGATCACTCAACTTCTTAGCTTGCAAATTTAAATCATTTGCAACTTCTCATAAAAAAAAAATAATGCGAAGCACCGGAATCACACAGCATGTAAACATCTAAACCTATATTCCGAATAGGCTACATATTTATCAACAGGCTAACTCGACGAGTTCGACCACGTTTAAGAACACCCCTCCTCATCCTTGTAAAGCAATACTCCTTAAATTCAAACAGAGAAAGTATGGCCACATTAGCGAAATGTTTAAGAAATCACATCCAAAACTTACTCAAGGCCTAAACTTATCATCCGCTAGGTTAAAGCCTAATCTTGCAAAAATTCAAACTTAACTTCTTGACCAACTAAAGATTTAAACCTAGGCTCTGATACCACTCTATCACGCCCCACCTCTAGGACATGACTCGGCCGTATCGTTACGTGAAGACCTGTAACAATACGAAGCCTAACCATACATACCTCTCAGAATCTTCATAATAACACTTGAATATACAATAATTCCACAACCCAAAATGACAAAATATAATCGACTTATTCTTCCCAAAAACTCATCAAATCCACTATTACATATTTACAATCAAGAGTAGTATGTCCAAAATGCATCACAAGCACCAAAGCCAAGCACAATGGTCTACCAAAAAACGCAAAGGGTCAAAGGGAATGTCTAAATAAACAAAAATCCATGATAAGCTCCAAAACTAGGACTAAGTCTCCAAGTTTCAAAAGTCACCTTCGAGACCCCACCACTTGTGCTCGTGCTATTCACATGTCCTAACTACTCTAAAACATGAGGAAAAACAAATACAAATAATGAGCTAATGCCCAGTAAGTGGTACTCCTCTCAACCCCAGATCAAGTAACCCCAATAATATACAAAAAACTTTAGAGTAATAACTAGATGCAAAACTTGATCTTTAAACCATATCGAAGTCATAATATACTCCATCATACAATACATAAGCTCACAAAACAAGAAACTTTAGCTACATGGGCATCAACAATATTTCATAACACAATACTTTCAAAAGCACAATTCATTCCTTAACATATGACCCATTGGCAACCTACAACCACCATTATATTCTGTGGCACATGCCATTATCGATATAATGGTCCAAAAAGACTCGACGATTTGGAATGAGTCAGGCTCGACGATTTAGAATGAGCCGGATGGAACGTTCCAACAAATAATTCAAAAGACTCGACGATTTGGAATGAGTCAAGCTCGACGATTCGGAATGAGCATTTAGGAACGTTCCAAGCCAAACAAAACAAACAACAAAATGTAGGTTGCCTCATGAGTTTAATCAAACACTCAAAATAGTTCTTATAATCAAATAGCCCGATGTAGCAAAAATCATTTCCTTAAAGTCACATAACAAAGTACATATTTCCAAAGTAGATAATAAGTTTATCAAACTACGAAATATGCAAGTTATAAACCATTCTCAAAATAACAATTTTCTTAGTACATAACTCTTTAAAAATCATAGAATAGTTTATTAAACCGAAGTAATTTCAAAGGAATTGAAATGGCTTAGTTGGAAGAACTTAAGTTGATATAAGCATGAGGTTAGGAGTTCAATTCTCTCTTTAAACAAATAATCCATTTTATAAGCATGTAATACATACAGAAAAATAAACATAAGGGTATGCTAACAAGCAAAGTGGAACCCACGACCTACTACTACCTACACAACAACCACAAGCCATTCTACCATCTCTACACTTGATGACTATTCCAGTCCAGATTATATAAGTAAACAATTCCTGTCCGGAAACACAGTTCACAACAATTCCAGTAAACGCAGCTCAAAATTTCAATATACAACTCAAATCACAAGTTTAATTTATAGTATAGGGTAAAAATGGTTTTGAGAGAAATACACACTTACCTAAAACATCCAAATCTTAGCTATTTAGCTTGCCCAAATACTCCTTGTCAAAATCCCTAATATTTTAAAATATCAATCTTAGGGCTCCAAAGATAAACCCAACTCATAATGAGTAAAAGATAGAGGTTAAACTCACCTAGAATACCCAATATCTTAGAGATCTAAGCTTGAAGAAGATGGAGATCCAAGCTTCAAGGTCTTCCCTTCCCCTATCTCTCTCTAGTCAACTCCCCTTATCTTCTTTTAAAAGATATCTTTCTCCAACACCAAGGGATTCCTTAATCTTTAAGGGTAGAGAAGGGTAATTTAGTAATTTTATCTAATATCAAATTTTAATAAGCTTTGACTTGTTGACCTCATTTACTAAACATATATATATTTTATTTATAAGGTTGTGGGTATTACACTTATATATATAATATCATTACTTAGGATTTATTATTTGATTGCCATATTAGTTATGTGTATACTTGTATTTGAATATCAACCGTTTCCCAAAACCTATATCTATATTTATGTTACAGGGTTGAGTGGCTTTATACTTTTTGACATTTTATGCTAATAGGTTTATTTTCCTATATGTTTTTATAACCCCTTTCAGGTGAACTTGATGCTTGATGAGAGCGCATTTGGTTGTAGTGTGTAGCTCTAGGGAGATGCTAGCCTTATTATCCTTCCTTTCTTTTTGGTGATTGATGTTAGACTCTGATGCAGCTAGACTACCTTCTTTTGGTTGGTGCGTAGACATCGGGGTTCGCATACCCCTTACTGTTGATGTTTTGAGCTGTGACTCTAGTATGTTAGTAGTTTTAGCCTGTGCAGTTACCCGAGGGTTGTTAACTGTGGCGGTGACACTCTCTTTAGTTTGTTGACTTTGAGAATTTTATATATCCTAGTTTATCGTTATTTCCTTGTTTTTGTCTTTTTAGACTGCTTAAATCTAGGCTCTAAAGTTTAGAAAAAGGGGGTGTTACAAGGAGGCACTTCACCATCAGGACAGACCACTATAGCCTGAAATTCTTATTAGAGAAGAAAATCACTACAGCATTGCAGCAGAAGGGGTTAACAAACTGTTGGGGTTAGATTATTCTATTCAATACAAGAAGGGTATAGAAAATTATGTGGCAGATGCTCTTTCAAGGAAAATGACTGATGGTGAAGCAGAGATTCAATCCATCTCAGTAGCTCAGCCACAGTGGGTAGAAAAGGTAGTGAAGAGTTATGAGCAGGATGTATGGGCTAATGAGACCCTTGCTGCTTCCCTGGTCAATCCTGTTGGGACACCTAACATTTATGTGACTGGGGGCCTTTTAAAGTATAAAGATAGGCTGTATATTGGACAAACATGGGACTTAAGAGCAAAGCTTATGTTGCAGCTGCATGAGTCAGCCCTGGGGGACACTCTGGGCAAAATGCCATCTACAAGGGGCTGAAAACACTATTTTATTGGAAGGACATGAAAAGATATGTGAAAGAAATGGATAGAGGGTGTGATGTTTGTCAAAGGTGTAAACATGAAAATGTAGCTAGTCCAGACCTCTTACATCCACTACACATTGCAGAAGGAGCCTGGCAGAGTATTTCAATGGACTTTATAGATGGCCTCCCAAAACTCACAACAAGGAAGTCATATTGGTGCTAGTGGATATGTTAACTAAATATTGCCACTTCATTGCCTTGACCCATCCTTACACAGCTGAAGGGGTTACAGTGGTGTCTATGGAGAATATCTATAAAATACATGGGCTTCCTAAGGAGATAATCTCAGATATAGATAAGATATTCACCAGCAAATTTTACCAAACAGTGTTCAAAGGAATGGAAGCCAAGTTGAACCTCTCAACAGCCTACCACTCTCAAATTGATGGCCAGACTGAGAGTGTCAACTAGTGTCTTGAAGGCTATCTCAGGTGCATGATTTTTCAAAAACCTAAGAGGTGGGCTAAGTGGTTGCATCTGGCTGAGTTTTGGTACAATACTAGCTACCACTCCTCACAAGAGAGCTCGGAGCCTCCCTAATGGTGAAGTGTCTCCCTGTAATAAGAAAAAAAAATTATTTTCAGGCTAGACCGACGAAGGGCATGGTTAAAAAAATAAAATTGGAACATGTACTAACCGGATTTGACACATATGAACATAAAATCAAAAGATCCATTTGTTAACTAAATACATTTTAACTCAGTAATTCTTTTCAGGCCAGACAAAAAACGTTTTTGTGTTTTACTACCTGTGTCCTGAGATTGTTGTTTCCTATCATATTTACTAACCAAGCATGCTCATAATAGAGTTGAACTGTATAGAAATTGAAATGGGAATATACCTGTGTCCTGAGATTGTTGTTATCTTTTTCTGCCTTATTATTTATTTCATATAAGTTGCAATGTACCAATTATTACAATGTGCATATTAAGGTAGATTGATTTTAGATTTAAATTCTTTATTGTAGTTTGATTTCCAGAAGTCAATTCAGATAAAAGATACAATAACATTCGAAATAAATGTGATAAAGCATACATAGGTATGTTGCATCTCCTTATTTGTGTACCAATAATTACAAATCATTACATAATACAAACTTTTCTCAAATCTGGCTTATACTACATACTACTTACAAATGTGTATGTATTCCACTATCATATTCTGTCCTATACTACATACTACTTCTACAAACCTCCCAGATTAAGCATACTTGAACTGTGATACTCATGGTCACAATGCATGCTATATTGACTTGATCTCTGATTTGATACCTGTCCAAGAAATTTAAGATATAAAACTTTGTAGGTTAGAGAAACAGTTAGATGAAGACATGAATATCGATGTGACACATTTGACCATCTCAACACATGGTTGAGCAGTGCAAAGTCACCATTCCCCGACATCTTGTCTGTTCATACCTGCAAAAAAGGAGCCTAATATACAAAGCAAAGTACCTAACTTAAGATACAAAGCATAGTACCTAACTTAAGAAAGACTGGTATAGTGATATTCCAGTGCCACAGGAACCATAGTCCATAAAATCCCATACAAAAAAAATAATAGTAATAATAAGTTAAAAGTGCCAAATGACACAATTGTCTTGAAAGGAATGCTAGACATTTACGACCACATCACAAATATCTGGAAAAAAAATGTTACTAACTATTTAATATTTTTTTGGATAAAGATGTGTTTGCTACAACTAAGAAAGCTTACTTCTCTTCTTTGGTATATATCTGAAATGGTCAGAACATTCATTTGACCTGAGCTAAAATCCTCAAGTGCACTGCCATAGCTCATACTTGTCATAGAGACAATGCTACGCATTAGGGTCAGCTCTCCTTTAAACCTACATAGAAATGTGTATGCTATCATCCGTAGGACACTAAAGTATAAGGCTCTGTTTGGCAAACCTAGCTGAAAAGCTATAAGCTAGGAGCTAAAAGCTGAAAAGGAGCTGAAAGCTGAAAAACTATAAGCTCAGAGCTGAAAACTGAAGAGCTGTTAAGCTAGCTGTTATGATTGAAAGTGTTTGGTAAAATTAGCTTTTTGATAAGCTGATAAATGTAAAAACACTAAAAAGGACATCTTCATAAAATTTAAATTAATTTGTTTGCATATTAAAATTTAACATATTGTTTTTAAAAAAAATTAACATTTTGAAATAAAACTATTAGCATAGTCATGATCAAGCATCTCATAATGAAGTAGCAATATTGTTGCAAATCTAATAATTATAATTATAATTATAATAATAATAATAATAATAATAATAATAATAATAATAATAATAATAATAATAATATAATAATAATAATAATATTTGCGGTGAAAGTTGTAGATAAAGGAGAAGAGAAAATGGTTTTAATTAGGAAGGATAAATTATGTCATTTCTTTAAAATAATGAGGATAAAGATGGAAAAAAAGTTAGGAAGCTAGGAGCTTATTTTGAAACGCTACCTAAGGTAGCGTTCCAAAATATGCTCTTATTTTAAGCTAGGAGCTTATTTTAGGAAAATTACCAAACAGAACTTATAGCTTATTAGTAGCTTAAAATAAGTTATAAGCTCCTAAATAAGCTCTGCCAAACAGAGCCTAAGACTCTAGGTACATGCTTTGTATTTTTTATACTACTCTCTGAATTTATGGAATTCTAGAAAATCTTGATTGATATGGATTTGTGTCACATTGTAGCTGCTGCACAACTTAATATCACCAGTTGATAGGCAAATTATCTAATTTTCAACACCATGAAGGAATTCAGATGAGAAGATTCAAATGAACTTAAGGTACTTCATTTAATATTTTCCACCACTAATCCACTATATTTGCTTAAACTGACAACTATTGTATTAGCTGTGATATTTGAGTTATTTGACTATTCAAATTTTTATTGAGCCTATGAACAAAAGTAGAAACTGTGATATTTGAGCTATTTGAGCCTGCTAAATGTGACCTACTTTTGTCTGTTTATACTAAAATCTTATTCACTTTTTTTTTCAAAAAAAAATGGAAGATAATGACATTTCCTTCAAAATATAATGATATGTATATTTTGCAAGAAAAAAAAAATGTACCTCATGTGGTTAGAATGTGTTGACCTGTTTATTCTTTTCGTTGGGTTAAAAAAGGTGTATTTTAGTATACCATAATAATTTGTTTGCTCCACCAATTTGCTCCATCATTTTCATTGGAATGGCTCTTTCTGCAAAACTTTATTTTATACAAACAGTGGTGCACAATTTCATTCACTATTCTATCATAATTAAAAGAAGAAGACTTACCCGCTAATATAGCTGAAAATGGCATGCACTCCATTCTTCAGTTGCAGTCCCGTTGGAGCTTCTACTTATCCCTTTATCGCAGCCTCAAAGAGTTTATGCTGCTCTCTAATATGACAAATAAACTCCTTAATGGCTCTTTTTCTTCGGTCTACAGATTCCTTCATATGTAGTATTTGCTGTGGAATGATGATTTATTTATAGTGTTGGAGTAGGTATAGAGGTTATTGTAAATTGTAAATGTAATTATTGATTTTAAATTTTAAATTCATCTTTAATCAATTAATGGTAGTTTTGGGGAGATGTTAAAAGTCATTTGTAATTTAAAATATGTGGTTATTGGAATTTGTAAGTATTCAAGAACCGCAATTATTATACATCTTAAATGCAGCCACCATACTTTGCTACTCATCTTAGAGAAGAGAAGAGATGCCAAGCATTTGACTAAGCATTATATTATACATTTAATTACTTT